GATTGGTAGTTATACCAGTAGTTGTCATACTATACCAGTGGTTCCTATTTATTGATTTGTTATTGATTAAGTCAATTATTTACACATGTCGGGAAATTTATGCCACTCGCTTTAGGTTTGTGCAAAATTTCACTCATACTTCAAATTAATAATATTAATATAAATATTTAATTATTTAATGAAATAATTTTCAATATATATTTTTGGTCTTCGTATAATTGCTAAATTGAGAATTATTTTTTCAAATTCTAGCTTCTTGTAAAATTTTAAATTTTTTTTTTTCTACGGCACATTATTTTAACTTTACGAAGGAGAAGTTTATGTTTTCTTGACGTTTTAAGCCATTCTGAATCGAATGAAACCAAATTTGCAAAAAGTATGTGTGTGTGTGAACAGATTGTTGACCTTTAGTTGACGTTTTCTCAAAAACGGCTGGACCGATTTCAAAAGTTTAAAAACCATTCGATGCAACTCAATAAGGACCACCGTTTGTCGGTTCGCGCAACGATCACCCAAGCCGTTTCTTTGGAAATTACAGAAAACTTGAGAAAATTCAATTCGGAATCGAAATGTATGGATTTAATTGAAAGCAAAGGCTTTATTTTCTAAATAAACAGTTGAAAATTTTACTAGTATACATTTTGGGAAGTTCATGGAACTTGCCTCAAGGCTGTATGCCACTTACAACTAAATTAATTTGATATTAATATTTCTTATTAAAATCTGGTCATATTACGAGGACATTTAGCAATTTTGTCTACATGTAGTGTATACCTTGTTTTTTGTAGACAACCCAGTAGTTGTCCTATCCGGTTATGACTAATATTGAGATCTATAGCCTTGATTGGAAATAAAAAAATAAAGTAAGCTAAATATGACAAAAAAAATTGTTTTGATTTTTGTTATTTTACCGAAGACGAAGCGAAAACTACGAAACCGATCATAAAACTAACTGACATGAATTTCCAACTATCCAATAACAAAATTTGGTTTGCACTTGGATCACGGCAGCAAATAGTTTTGGAAAAATTTATAATCGGTACAGGATTTTCGGCTAACATGTGGAAGAAAAACTTTGCATCTATTAAATTTGATTAACGAGAGTCCATATCAAGCCCACGATTTCTAAATTTTTTTTTAAATCGGTGCAGCCGTGAACAAACATCGACCAATGATCCAATTTGACCTGAAACGCCGAGAAAACATAACTTTAGCTCATCAGATATTCTGGCGAAAACATAAACTTCTAGAAAAAGAGCTCTAATATAATGCTCTTTCACTAACAATAAGATGATTAAATTCTTGTTAATTACCTTCTCATTCATAAAAAACAATCTTGGACATTTCAAGTTTATCTCTAATGTCCAATACTCACTAAAAAATAATAAACTTAATTATCCTCAAGCATGCGATTTTTTTTAAGTTAATTTTAAAACCTAGTACTTTAATAAAAGGCAAACCACTGGGTTTTCCTTTTAAAATTTAATATGTTATTTGTCAAACTAATTACTCAATGTCTTTCTATTTATACAGATTGTAATTTATGAGAAAATAAAAAAAAAGTTTTAAAACCATCTGAAATCAGTAAATTTATTTCTACAGCATTAGATAATACTTACGTTCATAAGCGAGAATAAAACATAAACAAACTAGTGGTGTATGGCATCGTGCATTCAGCGTAACAAAATGTTCGAGGAGTATTAAATTTTTCAAATAGATTATTATAAATAATGTTGCATTGTCTAATATTTATTTATAAGAATTAAATAAACTGAATCACAAAGTCAAAAATATGTATTTAAAGTAACAAGCGAGCTTTAAAACGTTAGCCAGAATTAAAATTGAAATCTGAACTATTTTCGATACTAGTGGGCTGTATGGCATCGTGCCTTAAGGCAAATTGCTGGAACTTCCCGTACCGTAACGAAATGTTCGAGGAATATTGAATGTTTTCAAATAGATTATTATAAATATTGTCTAATATTTATAAGAATTATATAAACTGAATTGCAAAGTTGAAATTATTTGTTTAAAGTATATTATAACTTTGGTCAGAATTAAAAATAAAATCTGAATTATTTTTGATATACAAAAAAAAAATTTTTTTTGAAAAAAAAATTTTGAATCAATTTTTTTTTCAAAATAAATTATTTTGTTAAAACAAGCAGAAAGTTCTTTGAATCATTTAAATCGAACGCTTAGTTCTCTCAAAAACTGCCATTTTTTGTACATTTAGCTCTGTATCTTCGAAATCTTTTGCCAAAAACTAATAACCACTTCTCCCAATCTAATTAAATCTTTCAAATCGGATGCTCCGTTCTCTCAAAAACTCGATTTCTATTTTCTGCAGTTTTTGCTTTTTATCTCCGTAACTGCTGGATCTGCCTCTGCCAAAAACTAATCAGCACATCTCCCTATCAATAGGAATCGAATGTTTTTTGAACCATTCAAATCGGTTGATCGCAAACCCAAGTTCCGAATTTGATCTCAACCTCAGCTAGCTCCATATCAAGCAGTATGATGTAGAATTTCCTCTTGGAATCATAGATCTCAGTGAAAATGGACTTTCGTGAGTACTGTTGCAACATACATCTTGTATATAGAAAATAATAGATTGTGACTCTGTGCATTCATGATTGATTTGCAGTTTAATTTAAGGCTCAGTAGAAGTATCGATTAAAAAAAAAATATAATGAAAGAGTGAAATTTTTAAAGTGCAAGGATTACACAAAAACGTGCATTTGCTTTAGTAAATAACGACTTATACACAGTACCCTCTAGTTCCTTGTTCGACTAGTACTTTATTTCTTTTTTGTCTCAAATGTTAATGATTTATTTTTCCAACAATTAAGTATATTTTGAAATTGATCAAAAGTATTGAAAAAAGTAATAGTATTATAATAACTTACAATATATTTTATGTAATATTTTCAATTTGTAATTCTAGTTATTTTTACACTTCTCTCTTATAAAACTTACAACTAACGCGTTTTATTTAAACTACTCATTGAAGTCTACGATACTCCCTAATATTTACATAAAAAATACATAACATTACACTGTGCGCACAAGAATCTAAAGAACATTTTCATATCATAAAAATAATATTTGAGTGATTGAAAAATTACATTTATAGTTTTCAAAATTCAGCAAAAGCGATATTCTGACCATGTGCGCACAGTGCAAATTACAAAGGCACTTTCACATTTTCTTTGTCATTAATTTGTACAGCTCAGGGATAATAACATTTTGTTTGCGCTTTGTAATTATGAGGAAGAGCAGGATTTAAAACAGAATCAGTATTTAAAGATACTCATGGTTGAAAAAATATTTTCATTTAACAAGCAAAAATCATCTTATAACATTTTAAAACAAATTTTATAACATTTTATAAATATTTTACTAATGATGACTTCTAGGATTTTATTTGTTTGACTGTTTACTCCCAGTATTCTTATATCTAATATGTTTATGAAATGTTTATATATAAAGCAAGTAATTACAACATTACTCGCAAATTATTTTAATATATATGACGGTGTCTTATAAATCTATATAAATAATTTAATATAATAAAGCAGTCAAAAAGCATATGGATATTTTACACATTTTTATATAACTCTATGATATAAGATATGTATATACAATTTCTTATAAAATACAATAAATAACGAAATCACTTTTACGCCTTTGGTCTTTTATTGCCAAAAATAAATTAGAATTTACCTTAACTATATAAATACTAATTAGTAAAATTAGTACTTACTTATTATCCCATATTTATCTCTCTTTCTCTTTCTCTCTCTCTCTCTCACACACACACACTCTCACACAGAATATACAATGTATTCTCTTTTTGTATGCAAAATTAACCACCAGCAAATGTAATTCATTAAATTATTAATAATAAACTTATTTTTGCGAGATGCATATTCAACATATTCTAAAACTACATCACAGATTATATACGTTATAGAAACAAAATAAAAAGTATGAAATTAAGCAAACGAATTCTATATTTGACTAAAGCAATCGAATATTGCGGTGAATTAGAAAACTTTCACTGGAGGTCATATATTAGACCTAAAATTAGTAAAATTTAGTTTAAAATAGGATCAAATAGATCATCACGATTGATGCCTCATTATTAAAGTAAAAAATCTTCTGTTTCTGCTCCAAGGATTTATTGTACAATTTGCTTTAATGAATTAAATTTAACCAGTGGTTATTTTGCATAGAAAACGCATATAACTTACGTTCATTTTTTGGTTTTAAATTCCTTCTATAAAAGAAATATATTTTAATAGTCATGGCATCACACTACAACACTTAATCAAAGTACTGATTGAGGAGGTCAGTCTTACTTTTAAATTGCAAAACTAAATTATACATTATAGATATTTTGGAAGTAAAATAAACCGAAAATGTACGCATAAAAATTGACATTCACGGCAAAGACTAAAATTATTTATTTATTATCTATATTACTGGATCCCTAGACTGACCAGTATACAAACGCTCTCTATTTTTCAAATTAAGCTTACTTGAAAAAAATAAAATTGTAATTTTTTCCCTAAATCTCAATAAAAAGTTACGAACGATTTTTTTCCGTTTTATAAAATATAAATTTAGATTTTTGTTCAGGATTTACATGATGTGATCGATTTCTAAAGTGTAGTACAAAAACACACATTTCCAAAACGGAATAGTTAAAATCATCACTTCATTGTTGCAATATATTTTTAACTTAATCTAACACTATCATACCATTCCGTCGTTTTTTCAAGTTAACCGTAGTGATACAGAAGATTTCCTTCATTTTGATATGCTATCACATGCATCTGATTGTGAGCTTGAAACAAAAAACTATTATAAAATTATAAGAACTAAAGCGCAATTTTTACATAAAACAGTAATTAAGTAGAGAGCTCATTACAAATACCTATCAAAACTTCTTAATTCACTTTCAATTTTAATATTTTTTTTAGTGAATTCGTCATCCAGCGGTCCAGTAATTTAGATCTGTCTTACCATTTGTTTTAAAACTATCTTGGTTACAAACACTGCCATCGTCCTGAACCTAGGACTTCCGTACGAGGCCTTTCGTATCCGTCGAAAACCGTCGTGTGGGACTCATCTGACAGTAATTCCAGGTACCCAGGAGCTTCACTTCCAAGACCCAAGGACATTGTTTCTTGGCTGTTTTCCAGACTCGATATCGGCGTTGCTAGGTTACTCTTCTCGTCTTTAACATAAGGAAAAGATTACATTGAAATCATTAGGCAGATCATTACGTAATGGAAGTGCATTACAAAACCAGTATTAAATGATAATTACCCATCTGATACGGAATGGACTTCAACTGCGTCAAAACGTGAACACATTCCTTAAACGTTGGCCTTTTACTGGTATCGTGACTCCAACATAAAAGCATCAACGAATACCTATAATTTAAAATAATATTCATTACCTGATACACGATGACAATATATGTCTACTTACAAATCATCAGGACATATGGATGGTTTGCTCAATCTTCCGCCTTCCCGGACATAGTGCAGAACTTCCAAATTTGATCTTGCAGGATAAGGCTGTTGTCCGTATGTCAACACTTCCCAACAGAGAACTCCATATGCCCACACATCAGATTGACAAGAAAAAACTCCATCGACCAAGGATTCAGGAGCCATCCATCTTACTGGTAAGAGTCCTAAACAATAAAGAAATCAATGTAAATATTGGAAACTATAAAAATGATAGGTTAGATATAGTTAATTTTACAAGGCAACTTATGATTTTGAATTAAAATCTGATTAGCTAATTATGTTTTCTCGAAGTTTCAAGTGAATCTGAATCGTTTGACACCAAAATTGAGAAAAATATGTATGATGTGTTGCTTTACAGATGCCATGCTCAAATGTTTGGCCTGGATATTTCGAGCACAATAATAACAATATCAAACCTATATTTATTCATGAGGTAAAAATATAGTTACTCGCTACTGCTCACTCGCTCTCCTTCTTTCCATGAAACGCAAGTGTAGGATTTTTCTTTCAAATGTGCTTTCTTTTCAAATTTCTTGCGCCTTTCCAAGTAGCCTCCGATATCAACATTAACTCCCATGTGTATGTGTGCGTATGTGTGAATATGTATACCAAAATTTGTTTACATTAAGATGTTTTATCCAAAACCGCTGTATCGATTTTAAACATTTGAAAGCCACTTGATTAAACTCGATAAGGACTTACGTTGATTAGTTTTACGAGACAAGCGGTCAAACCGTTTCTTTGGGTTTAAATCAAAATTTAAAAAACATGTCAGCTTTGTCGCAAAAATTTCTGAACAAATTTTGAAAATTTAAAAACAGTTCAATAGATATCGTGTGGGTATTGTGCTAATTAGCTTATAGTAAAATTTCTTCATTATTAATTGTTATTTTTTTTAACTTTAAATGAACTATTTTAATTTTTGGTTTTAACGAACAAACTAAAATATTTGAGGCTAGCAAAAAGGAAACAAATTATGAAAATCATTAAAGTTTGGAATAATGAGCCGCGTTGAATTTTTAAAATTCTATCAAAAAGTCGTTAAATCTTAATTGTTATTTATTATTCATACACATTAGAAAGTACAAGCAAATATCATACAAGCGCATAGTTTTGTCATGGGATCAGATCAAATTTGTTAAAGAAAAAGTTCATTAAGAAACAAAAAGACATTTTCGTATCAGTAAATTTCAAATTGACTACAGATTGTATCTGGAATTACAATACATACCTTCACCTTCTTTTCTATAGTAGTCATTTTTATAGATATCTCGAGCAAGTCCAAAATCTCCAATTTTGACAACACGGACATTATCATGTGTCGACACCAAGCAATTGCGACATGCCAAATCTCTGTGGACAAAATGCATCTCCTCTAGATATGCACAACCCACGGCCACGTCCAGGCACATGCCTAGTAGATCGTTCAACCCCAGAATTTGCTAAAATCAAATATCGTTAATTGCATTGCCATTATCAAGTTGCCAAAACTTTCTAGGCAAAAGATATATAGTCTAAAACGCCAAAACGTCCAATAAATGATTTGATGATATTGACTCCAAATTTATAAGCAATGTCAATTGTTTTAGAATAAACTTAACCACTTACCGAAGTACGATTATGTCTCAAGTAACTCAGAAGATCACCTCCTTCCATCAATTCCATGATGATAAAATGGGGATCGTTGTCTAAACAAACTCCCAAAAGTTGAAGAATATGCCTATGTTTAAAGTTGCCCATAAGTCTGGCTTCTTGTAAAAATTCTAACTTCTCTTGCTCGGTTGCGCCTTTGCGCAAAGTCTGATCGGAAATTGATCATTAGAGAATATTCAATAGCATGTAAAAGTTAAGTTAACTACCTTCACAGCCACTCTGATATCGCCTCCAAGTTTGGCTTTGCCTTCAAACACCTCACCAAATGCTCCACTGCCCAAAAACTTAACAAGTGTAATCTGATCTCTAGAAATATGAGGCAACATGGCAATTTCGGCATCGGTTGGAGGAGCACCTCCAGTATATAAAGTGTTACTACTATGAATGAAGGTACATCTTCTAGGAAGTTCGCGAAGGGTCGCCAATTCCACATCCAAACCATGAGGTCTTAATGTGTGCGCGTGGTGTGCCTGCACAATTTTCTTCACGTCACGAGAACGATGGTTGAAAGCTAAAAAAATGAAGTGGATTAAAAAAACTTAATCCGTTTATGGTACCAATTTAGTTGTAAATCAAGCTACAATTAGGATTGATATTGATCACCAGATACTTGAAATAAATGGTTTGTAAATTTTAAGTTATCTCCACAGATCTTTGAACATTTAAGATTTCTGTTGATTTTATAAAGAAATATTGGTTATCAGAATGAATTTTCAATAAAAATATATATGCCCACATTTAATTGAATACTTCAAAGTTTGCGAATCCATACAGATCTTTGATGTGATACAAACAGATGTTCCATATTATGTTCGAATACTTTGAGTGTAAATCAATAACTTTGTTATTGATTAAGTTTTATTTGAAAGTTAAAAAAACAGTCAAACTGTGTCATTTTTTTTTCAAGTACTCACTATAGGCGAGGCAAACACCGACAAAAATCATTATGAAGACGCACACAAGGAATACTATGACGATCTTTTCATGCTGGTGAGCCAACATCGTCGCTCCAGAAGAATCAAAAGGAGTGCTGACCAAACTGTAGTCGCTCCAGCCGTAGCTGTTTAAGGCCCGCACACGAAAACGGTACAAACTCGGTCGCAATTCTGATATTATCCAATAATTATCTGAAACAAAAATAAAATATATAATCTATAAATTATCCAGTACAAATTTTATGAACTCATTTTCAGAAAAAAAAATTGCCATTCTAACCTGTGCCGTTGTAAAACTCCTGCCAATCTTCGTTAATAGGTTCACTATCGATAAAATTCTGCGTAAAATTTGCAGCTTGTCGACGATTTCTCATGCCTTCATCAGTTTTAGAATCATAATCGCCTAGCATTCCTTCAAGACTATAAGCCATCAAAGGAGATCCATTATCTAGAGAAGGCTCCCATATCACCTTGTAGATGTTGCTTCCAATATGTTCAATCACAGGTATACCAGGTTTAGAAGGTTTATCACCTGCAAGAGTAAAAAACTCATCATATTTTATTTTAATTATCTCATCAAAGCATTTTTCGTATTAAATAGATTACAAGATCCGGGCATATTGCAAATAATGAAACTTTATCTATTTGTTTCATTGTGTACAAATACTGACAAGTTTTTTTAAAACTACTCCTTCTAAATACTTACAAAGTGTTTCAAAAACAAATCTATTGTCCATTGGCCAGATGTATGGTTCTTCTTGAAGTTTAATAGCTTCGTTGACATTTTCATTGGGGTACCACAAAGTCAGCCTAAGACGATATTGCGTTTTGGGTTTCAGTTGACTGATTGTATAAACGTATTGGTTTTCGGACACATTAGTAGTTTCCTGAAAATCGGTGTTTTCCCAAAGCTCAAAACCAAATGGGGAATACTGCAAAATGTGCCTAAAATTATGAATATTTGATTAGAATCAAGTTTTGCTTGTGAACATGTCTGTTCAGACCATGAATTCTATATTACAAATCTATGATGAAAATTATTTAGAAGATAGAAAAGCAATTTGATAAAAATTATTTAAGAAAATTGACAACTTCAACAATCTAAGCAAAAAACTGAAATCATTATTATTATTTAGCTAAGTAGGTTTCCTAAAATATTTACATATTGGTTCGATTTGTGGCCTCCAATCATAAATTTATGGTAGTTAGGTACCTGTTAGTCCCTTCCCAGCCAACCATCAAGACAGTAGATGATATTTGCAACAATGATATATTTTTAGGTTCTGGATACGTGGTAATTGTCACGTGATCACTGTCTGTAAACATCCATTGGCAAGCAGCGTGGTCACAAAATGCACGAACACTGATTGCATACGTCTGGTTAGGAGCTAAATGTCGTAAGTGCATCTGCAGGATCGCATTGCTGGGCTCGTTGATGGTTGTTTTGTCTAGTATTTAATAATTTAATTAACATTTGAAGTAATTCTGACACCAAAATTGGAAAAAGTATATGTGTGTGAGCCAAAATTTGACCTTTAGTTTTTGTTTTCTCAAACACAGCTGCACCAATTTTAAAAAATTAAAATGTATTCAGACTCGCTTTAAAAAGTGGCTTAATTCATTATAAAAATCTTTAAGGTTTGTAATTATTAGCCGCGCCCTTAAGACATGCACCAGGTATATACATTGTACTTACTTAGTCTGTTTATGATTAATAGAACTACTTACACATATTGTAAGTTGGTTTGAAAGATATCAATTGAAAATCGTTTTGATTAGTTTTTGAAGCAAAAACTTTATTTTAGAAGTAAAAAGTTAAAAATTTGCTCTATTGCAATTCTTATTGTCAATTATTTACGTACTACAGAAAGTTTATGCAACTTACTCTAAGGCATATGTACACACACACACACACACACACATATATATATATATATATATATATATATATACAGGGCCGGTCCTGGGGTCCTTAGCGCCCGCATGCAACTTTCTTTCCTGTCCCCCATTAATTTTACCGTTTTAAGAGTTTATCATTAAAATTATATAAATATTTACATATTTTTTAAAAATTGTAATTATTCTGGATTTAGTACACAAAAAATTAGATATAATCTAGAAGAGTACAAAATATATTGATTTTAAATTGATTTTATCGATATCAATAAATAAAACAATCCTGTCATAATTTCAGATTTTAGTAATATTCAATATGTAGTATATTGGTTAAGGATGTAAGTTTATAAGTATGGTGTAACTACCATAGCTTATACCATAGAATTTAAGAAATGCATTTCAGAAATAGTATTTATTATTTTGATATAAAGATCTTGATAAAATTCTATAACTTTAATTTATCAAAAATATTAAGTGAAATAAATAAATTAATTTTTAATTATTCTGGATTTGGTGCACAAAAAATTAGATATAATCTAAAAGCGTATGAAATATATTGAATTTAAATTTATTTAGAAAATCTAGGCGATTCGGGGGTTGATCATAATCAAGTATTTTGAAATTTTCAAACATAACACTCGTATTTCATGTTGAATTTTTCAAATTTTAATTTAATTTAATTTTTCATCATTTACAATATCCAAAATTGCGTCGTAAACTTGTCCTTATTGATATCGTAGGAGCCGTCATATTCAGAGTATCAGCTTGTTGTTTTAAAGTTAAATTTTTAACGTATTTTAGAAGTATTGTTCAAAAATCAGTAAAAAATGCAAATAAATTACACATTTCTTGAACAATATTGAAAAAAAAAACTTATTATATTTGATATGTATTATTTCTGTATAGTTAATAATTATTAAATTTAGAGTATGGACACTACTAGGTATGAAACAAGCCTTAAGATTTTCGTTCCAAAGTAAATTTTGCTTCCATTTTTTATATTTGTTCCACGCATGTCTTCAACATTCAAAGTTCAACAGATACGAAACACTTGCAACAAAAGCAAAAGTTACAATTCAATTTCTCGGAATAAATAAGTCATTTTCTAAGCACTGACTCCTCATTTTTTATAATTTGTTTATATTTTTTTAACAAGTTCCGATTCAACTAATTCAGCTCGCAATTTTTCGTCAATAATGCCCAACATTTAATTTAATCTATCGCAGGTTTGCGCTTATGGGATTGAACACTAGATAATTTCCTTTTCGATTCCACGGTAACTTCAAACAAAGAAAAAATTGAATAAGTAGATTAAGCAATAAACAGAGCTGTTATTTACTAATTTGCAGAATTATTAATCGGTTAATTGTTTCTACTGATATCACATTGCAAAATGAATATGCTTTTTATGTTTCCATATCCCTAGTTAAGTTAAATTATGTATAATAATTTATTAAGTATTCTAGATTTTAAATAAATAATTCTAGATTTTATATAAAAAATATAAAATATTATATTATAAATTTAATTTCCGAAACTCGTTTTGGCGCCCCCTAAGGCTTGCGCCCGCATTTTTTGCATGCATCGCATGCAAGGCAGGACCGGCCCTGTATATATATATATATATCTTGAGGATTTTTGTTCGATGTCGAAACATATTGAATGGAATAAAACAGCCAATGCGTCGAATGTAGAAATGTTTATTTTAAATTGTTATATGTTTCGAGGCTAGATGTGTCTCATCATTCAGCTAAAAGAAATTTACAATATAATGAAAAGTTTTAAAATTAAAAATATAACAATTAGAAAAATTTGATTATACATACAAACTTGTTATATCGGTGAAAGTTCCCAATACATCAGCAAGAGAATGAATCAGTTTATTTATAGCTCAAAAAATCCAAAACAATTTAAAACAATATTAAATTTCTAGTTAAACAATGTAAATTTCTTTAAGCTGAATGAGACACATCTGGTCTCGAAACGTATAAAAATTAAAAAAAAAACATTTCTACAGTCGTCGCATTGGCTGTTTTATTCAATTCAATATATATATATATATATATATATATATATATATATATATATATCCTATAATTGCTTGCTTGCGTTTGCATGCACGCAATTACACTTTTTGTACCCAAAACAAAAAATAGGCAAAATAAGTAATAAAATATTCATTATGAATAGGAATAAAAAATACGAACATGATGTTGGTACTTCTCCATTTGTCCTTGCTGTCAATCCTTTAGGTTTAGAAGCCCAATGCACTTCGTATTTTACTGAACGTGAATTTAGAATTGCTGGGGGAAGCCAATGGACAGATGCTTCATTTGGATTTAAGACCACAGCCGAGACATTTCTTGGTTTACTTGGTGCTGAAAATAAAACTACATTACAACTACTGACTTTTAAAAATGTATTTTTTATTGCTTACCTCCTTGTGCAGTCATATACACTGCAGGCTCACTGAGGATGATGCTCTTCCTATTTTCATCATCATAAATATTGCTGACACCGACACAAAATACGTATTTTTTATATGGTTTCAAACCGGTGATTTCAACTTTTTTATAACTGAATTCCACTATTTTGAAAGTATCATTGCAAGATGATTCTGAGCCTGTATAATTCTTATAGAACACATGGTATTTAACAGTAGGAATAGGATTAAAACACCCCTTGTTTCTTTCAAAATCTGGCAGAAGTAATGTGATAGAACTTGAAGAATTACTGTCAATGGAAGGCGATCTTAATGAAACTCGTTTCGGAGATAAACATTTTCGTGGAGGATACAACTGATTTGCTAAGGAAGCAAAATTTTGAAAATTGTCGAAAAATATATTTTCTAACATACTTGTTTTAGTTAAAGCATGAATAGTTCCTGTAGTATCAGACCAATAAATGTTGCCTTCATCAATAGAAATCGTTGTTGCATCCGATGCAATAACTACAATTCTGCAAAAACATCCGTAAAAATCGGACATAATGATGTTTTTTGTATCTCGTTCCAACCAATATACATCAGGAAATTCTGGTGTTGTAAATCCAAGAGCGATGACATCAGATATAAGTGGATTGTGAGTGCAATTGCAAAAGGAATTGGCTTTCTCCTGCTTGAAAAAGGGTGTCATCGAAGAACCATCCGTGGAAGATATTAATAGATGATGAAAGCCATCAGATGTACTTTCAATACGGAATAAGGTTCTGAAAAAATAAATAGCCAATATGAAACATACTAAAAAGTATATACATATATAAATATATATATTTGATTTGTTATATACATACTCAGATCACTTGGAAAGCATAGGTGCAATAATTAAAATTCCATGATTAATATAAAATTGAATATTTTTGAAAATATTTATTTAGTTACCTCGTGAATGGGGAAACTTCTAAAGATCCAATAAATCCAGTAGATGTTAAAATAACACGTGGTTCTGGATGTATCCAGTTCAAATAATTCAAATCCAAAGCAAAGACCGCACTTCCGCGACCTTTATCATCAAGTTGTGACCAATATAAAACTCTTTGCACCCAATCTAATGCCAAACTTTGCACAGAGGTATTCAATGATAATAGCTAAAAATATATTGATTTTACAGACTGCAAGATAAGTTTATAAAAATTATATAAACCTACTTTGCGTTCTTCTGTTCCGTTTATGACGACAATTTCGTTCAATGAATTTGTGAAGAATATTAAATTCTCTCGTTTAAGAATTGCAACGTCCCTAACAACTGTATTATCAGGTAAAGTGAAAATTGTTTTGTTGAATCTTATGTCAAAATCAACATTAAGTAGTGATTGATCGGTTGCTACTAAAAGTTTTGGAACTGGTACTTCGTATTCTACATCAATAACTACTGGAGATGAAGCTGGGCCAAAACCTACTTCTGTAAATGCTTGAACCTGATGCAAATAAACATTATTTTAATAAAAACGTTATTATAAAAATTAAAATTAATGCCCGAGAATACGAACCTGAAAGTAGTACGTAACATTTTTAATTAAATTATCCAATCGAAACTCCGTATTCTGTGGCGCCAGTAGAGTTCCTTCTGACCCGCAAGCAGTATTGTTAGTTCCATCTTCCAGAAACCCGCATAAAACGCGGTACCCTTTTAACAGACCGTTGGGTTCGAGTGGTTCCTTCCAACGCAAAATCGCCACGAAACGTTTATCGTGGTATATGGGATCGCCGCTTCTTTCTGCATAAACCCGAACTCGTCGAGGTACCGAAGGTTCCGCAGATGGCGAGCGCAAACTCCTCTTTACCTAAAGTAATATGATATAAAGATATTCATAAGGAACTATCAGACTGGTGCAATATTTTTTACATCGTTCCAAAATATTATGTCAGTTCAGAGTTTTAAATAAAATTTAAAAGCTGGTCATAGATATTTATTAAAAAAATAGTAGAACAGATTCCATTATTGATGAAAATTACATGCTGGAAGAAAATTTACTCAACATATAGTACTATACCTTTGGTGAATATCCCCACAGGGTGTATGCCCGTATAAACACCTCCAAAACAGAATACGGAGGAAGATAATTGGTGCAGGAAACGTAGTTATTATTGGTTTGCACCTAAAATCATTCAACAATTTAATATTTGTATCCAATACGTGTTGCAACTAATATTATTACTATTACCGATATGTTATCTGAAGAAGACGTCTGAATCCTTACATCATAAATAACTTCACCATAGTTGACATTATCCACAGGTGCCCAGGTGATATTAAAATTTGTCCAAGGGCCTGTAACTTTTATCGAGTTTGTCTCGACTTGGTTAGGGATGACATATAAGGGTCCAGTGTGATCTGCAAATGATTAATTGCCTAATTTGATAGTCATTTGAACATTATTTTAAAGTAGAAAGCAAAAAATGTGTAATGAGCCATCATCTCGATTCTTACGACGTTGCTATCATCAGGAGATAAATGATCATATATGAATATTCATAGCAAAAAAAAATTGTTTTGTCGGTAGTTTTTTTTTGGTTTTGAGCTCTTTTATTTATTTTAAGATACCTCAATATAATTTTTAAGTAAACATTATTCCCGTAAGGCAAGTTATAGTATTCGCAAAAAAATCGAAAACTGAAAATTTTTATATATCTTTACGTTTCAAAACCTTCTGAAAATTTTGACATGCCTTAGAAAAAATTGGTGAATGTGTGTGTGTGTGAGTGTATGTGTGTGTGTTCAGATACAAATTTTCGTCGACGATTTCAGGAACACGGATGAAGCGATTTGAATAATTCAAAAAACATTTGATTCGTATTGATAAGGAGACGTGCGGATTAGTTTTTGGCAATGGCCTAGCCGTTCCGAAGATATGGGGCAAAAAGTGCCAAAAACGGTAACTCAGTTTTTAAGAGAACGGAGCGTCCGATTTAAATAATTCAAAAAACATGAACTGATCAAATTTTCATAAAGGAAGGTCTAGCGGTTTCGGAGATCTAGTAAAAGAAGTAAAAAATGCCATTTTGCGGTCAAAAATGATCATTAGACATATGCACATCAAATTATCAAATATTTTATAAAGATTTTAACAATAAGTATAAATTTTGTTTACATTCCAATGGATTCCGTACCAGTGTTTATCCGTTAGACGGCGACGCGGCGCTTACGTTCTTCGATATTTCGTCTCTATGCAGTTAAAGCAGTACGATTGCTTTGAAAAAAAGTTCAGAATTTGCAAAATATTTCGGAATAAACTCTTCTTCAAAGTTTTTTTTTTCAAAAAAAGTAAGTTTTTGTCAAAAATTTATAGTTTCTCAAAAATCTAATTTTTTCAAAGTATTTTTGCTTTCAAAAATGTTAAACTTTTTAAAAAAAATTATTGTTGGTACGGGAAATTCCAGCAATTTGCCTTAAGGCACGATGACATGCGCCCCACTAGTATAATTATAAGTATTAAGATATTTTAACGCGTATAAAAGAGTTCTGGAGGAGCTGGGATTTGAACCCAGGACTTCCCGCACGCAAAGCGGACACTCTACCCCTGAGTTACACCCCCTTCGAAATAAAACATAATTCTCGGATTCGGATGAAATATACAGTTTATTTATATAACTATAATATTTAAGATATTTTAACGCGTATAAAAAGTTTTGGAGGAGCTGGGATTTGAGCCCAGGACTTCCCGCATGCGAAGCGGACACTCCACCCTAGTTTACACCCCATTCGAAATAAATATAATTTTTTCGGATTTGAATGAAATATACAGTTTATTTATAGCTATAATTTTTAAGATATTTTAACGCATATAAAAAATATGTGGAGGAGCTGGGATTTGAACCCAGGACTTCCCGCATGCGAAGCGGACACGCTACCCCTGAGTTACACCCCCTTCGAATTAAACATATTCTCGGATTCGGATGAAATATACAGTTTATATATAACTATAATATTAAGATATTTTGATATTTTAACGCGTATAAAAAGTTTTGGAGGAGCTGGGATTTGAACCCAGGACTTCCCGCATGCGAAGCGGACACTCTACCCCTGAGTTACACCCCCTTCGAAATAAAACATAATTCTCGGATTCGGATGAAATATACAGTTTATTTATATAACTATAATATTTAAGATATTTTAACGCGTATAAAAAGTTCTGGAGGAGCTGGGATTTGAACCCAGGACTTCCCGCATGCGAAGCGGACACTCTACCCCTGAGTTACACCCCCTTCGAAATGAAACATAATTCTCGGATTTGGATGAAATATACAGTTTATTTATATAACTATATTTTTTTGAATATTTTAACGCGTATAAAAAATATGTGGAGGAGCTGGGATTTGAACCCAGGACTTACCGCACGCGAAGCGGACACTCTACCCCTGAGTTACACCCCCTTCGAAATAAAACATAATTCTCGGATTCGGATGAAATATACAGTTTATTTATATAACTATAATATTTAAGATATTTTAACGCGTATAAAAAGTTTTGGAGGAGCTGGGATTTGAACCCAGGACTTCCCGCATGCGAAGCGGACACTCTACCCCTGAGTTACACCCCTTCGAAATAAAACATAATTCTCGGATTCGGATGAAATATACAGTTTATTTATATAACTATAATATTTAAGATATTTTAACGCGTATAAAAAGTTTTGGAGGAGCTGGGATTTGAACCCAGGACTTCTCGCACGCGAAGCGGACACTCTACCCCTGAGTTACACCCCCTTCGAAATAAAACATAATTCTCGGATTCGGATGAAATATACAGTTTATTTATATAACTATAATATTTAAGATATTTTAACGCATATAAAGAGTTTCTGGAGGAGCTGGGATTTGAACCCAGGACTTCCCGCATGCGAAGCGGACACTCTACCCCTAGTTACCCCTGAGTTCGCCTTGAAACAAAATTTAATTTTCGGATTTGGATGCAAATACATTTTTTTTTAATATAACTATAATTTTTAAGATATTTTAACGCGTATAAAAAAGATTGGAGGAGCTGGGATTTGAACCCAGGACTTCCCGCATGCGAAGCGGACACTCTACCCCTGAGTTACACCCCGTTCGAAATAAACATAATTCTCGGATTCGGATGAAATATACAGTTTTTTTTAATTTTATTATATCTAGATTTTAACGCGTATAAAAATATGTGGAGGAGCTGGGATTTGAACCCAGGACTTCCCGCATGCGAAGTGGACACTCTACCCCTAAGTTACACCCCCTTCGATATGAAATATAATTTTCGGATTTAAGTTTTCAAATGTGTCAAAACTGAATATAAAGCTATTGCGATATTACTATTTGAACATATACATAATTTTGTTCATGAAAAAAAAGATCATTCTAATACAAATTCGAAACAAAAAAATATTTCATATAAAATGAATTCAGTTACAAATACAAAAATTATGTTTAGAAAGAAAATTTCGCATCCAATAATTGCAAAGGCGTTTTTAAAATCGATTAAAAATGTAAGCTGGACGAAAAATGTACCATTTTCTGCTAATTTCTAAGAAACGTTTCGGCCGATCGTCACACAAAATAAATCGATAACGGCTTTTTTAAATTTTTGAAATAGCCGTTTTGAAAGAAAACGACAAATGTAAAAAATGGGCTCTTTTTCCAAATTTGGTCTCAATAGATTCATAATGACTTGAAACGTCGAGATAACATAAAATTAGCAAATTGGTATTTTGGCGAAAACATAAATTTCACTTCAAAAAGCAACAAGTGCAGATTTGAATGATCCAAAAACATTCTGCTTGTATAGATTGCTTTTGAGGAAAGAATTTTTTTTCATTCCATTTTTTTTATTTTTCGAAAAAAATTATTTTTTCATATAAATTTCGTATAAGTTTACTCATCGTCCATTCATAAGGTTTATATTTGGTTTTATATCTATAAAATAAAATAATGAAAGTTACAGTATTTATACTAATCTATTTGAAAACATTTAATATTTTTCGAAAATTTTATTACGGTACGGGAAGTTCCAGCAATTTGCCACAAGGCACAATGCCATACACCAGTAGTTCAATTATTTTATAAGATGTGTTGTTATTTTTTAAGTATATTCAACAGTTTTTCCTTTATAAAGCATATATCTATATATTTCCTGTACAAAAAGCTTACATGTGGGTGGGGTT